CTGAGTCACGGGACCCCAGGAGGAGCTTGGCTTGCATTGGAAAGGAAGCAGCTCTCCAGCCACGGCGAATAGGGGGAAAAGCCCGAAATACAGGAATGGATGTGACTAATGCCTGCCTGAGTCTGCCGAGAGCCTGAGCCCATTGCTCTGAGCATGAGGAGCTGTCCCAGGTGTAACTGACGCTGCCTGGGTCTGCCGAGAGCCTGAGCCCATCGCTCTGAGCATGGGGAGCTGCCCCGGGTGTGACTGACGCTGCCTGGGTCTGGTGAGAGACTGAGCTCATCGCTCTGAGCATGGGGAGCTGTCCCGAGTGTAACTGACGCTGCCTGGGTCTGCCGAGAGCCTGAGCCCATCGCTCTGAGCATGGGGAGCTGTCCCGGGTGTAACTGACGCAGCCTGGGTCTGGCGAGAGCCTGAGCCCATCGCTCTGAGCATGGGGAGCTGTCCCGGGTGTAATTGACGCTGCCTGGGTCTGGCGAGAGCCTGAGCCCATCACTCTGAATGTGGGGATTTGCCCGAGGTGTCTCAGTGGGTTTTTAAACTCCCAGCTCCAGGGGGTCCAGCCAACCCTACCCGAGCAGGGAGCTTTGTGTGGGGCAGATTGGGGAGAGTACAGCAGGCCCCACCCCCCGCCACCAAGCAGAGGCGGCCCAGCAGCTGAGGTGAGCACTGAGGGACCCCCCCACACACCTCTGTGCAGGAGAAAAATGGCCCCGATCCTGCTCCACGGGGGAAGGAATAGGTCCCCCGATGCTGTCCCTGCCTCAAGGGGATGGGGGGGCCGCCTGCCGCCCCCCTTCAAGTGCGGGGTTGGCCCATGGCATGGTGGCAGAGCCTGCATGGGGGAGTGTGAGCCCCCCAGATTGTCCCAATTGCTCCAGGACAGCAGCTCCCCGCCCCCCAACCAGGGGATTCAGCCATTCGCGCCTCAGCTGAGATAGAGGGCGACCCTCAAAAAGGGAGCCTACCCCTTCCCAGCCCACCGTGCAGCCCGTCCCCCTCCCCGCACCCCGCCCCGCCGGCTCACCAACACCGTGCGCCCCGGCTTTGCAGGCGTAATGAAGCAGCGTCATGTCGGTCAAGCCATCCCGGTCGTTCACGTGGCAACCGCGCTTCAGGATCTGGGGGGGAGAGAGGGGAGGAGGGCAGGGGGAGAGAGGGTTGGGGGGAGGAGAAGAGGGGGAGAGGAAAGGGAGAGCAGGGGGTGGGGTTGGTCAGAGCTGGTCAAGCCGCGTTCCCCACCCCCACCTGCCATCCCGCTGCGTCTCCGGTTAATTTCCAGGTCAGAACAGCACCCAGCATGGAGTGGAAAGGTCCCTGGTGATGGGGACTTGGGGGGTACAAGAGACGAGCAAGGGAGGCCTGATGGGAGGTTTCTAACAGCAGCAACATGGTGCACCTCTGCCCCGGGGATCTCGAAGGCAGGCACTGCCCCTTTGGCAGAAGGGGGGGAAACTGAGGCACAAAGCGGGGAAGGGACTTGCCTAGGGTCACACAGCGACTTAGTGGCAGTGCTGAAGATAGAACCCAGGAGTCCTGACTGCCAGCCCCTCTCTGCTCTAACCCGCTCAACTCCCCTCCCCTCCCAGAGCTGGGAACAGAACCCAGGAGTCCTGACGCCCAGCCCCCGCCCAGCTCTACCCACTAGACTCTGCCTCGGAATTTCCTGTGGACTGTTTTCTGACCCGCTGTGGCACCGATCTCAGACCCCCTGGTGGAATCAGGCCCTTCTCTGATCAGGATGTGCCAGTTCCACCCAGCTGCAGCCCCCGCCCCGGCGTGTCCCGTGTCCCCAGGGCAGGCGACCCGGCGCCTCTCCCCAGCGCCAGGCTGCGCAGACACAGGCACTGTGCAAGGCGCGTCGGCTCCCCTCACTCACCTCGCTGCCTATGACATCAATCTTATGTTGCACCTGGGGCACCCACTGGCGGATGATGGCAAACAGCTCCGGGACCGTGGTCTTGGGGTCGTAGAGGATTTCTTGGCAAGCCGGGTCATTCGGGTCAAAGAAAGTGAAAGCTGGAAAGAGAAGGAAGGTCTTTAAAAAGGGGAATCTACCCCTTTATTAGGTGCACTACGGTAGCACCTGACTCCCCGTCCAAAATCGAGACCACGCCACGCCGAGCCTGTATGACAGTAGCACCTAGAGGTCCCAACACAGACCAAGGCCCCCTTGTGCTGGGTGCTGCACGGACACCAGTTAGCTCTTGCCTGCATAGTCAGAAGTGGGAGGGGAAACTGAGGCACAGAGCGGGGCAGGGACGTGCAAAAAGTCACCCAGCAGGCCAGTGGCAGAGCCGGGAGCGATGAAGCATCTGGGTGTTCTCTGAGCACAGCTTGTTTCATTTACACCAGTCCCTGGACAGAGGTGGTTGCAAACAGCATGCAGGCCCCCCGTCCGCCAGGGCTCAGCTACACCCAGTATGTGCCCGCATGCCAGACCTGCCCCTCTCTGAACCGACTCTCCTGCTCTCCAGAATCTCAGCTTTCATTTACATACCAGCTAGCGTTTCCGGCTGCCCAGAAAACACCTCCCCAGGCAGAGTCAGAAGTAATTGCTCGGAGAGGTGTGAACCGCCCCCCTCATCTCAGGAAAGAGTGAGCCTGTTTAAACGTCTGCTGTGTTAACGATTTCATGTGAGGCCAGGCCAGAGCAGGGCATGGAAATGCCCAATGTGCCGGGTGGGGTTTGGGAGCAGCTGTAAGAGTTTTTGTTTCTCCTCCGCAATCAGGAAGGCGGCGTCGGTTCCCCCCTCAGATTCCCAGTTCCTCAGCCATCGCCTCTCTGGGGCGGAGTCGTGCATCTCAGCGGGATACGTCCAGGCAGCCTGATCCCCAGCAAATCGGCCTGCCTCAGCCATATTGCTCCTCCTGAGATACGCCGGGAAGTTGCTAGTAGACTCGAGCGCACAAGGCGACGCGCGGACCCAAGACATAACCCGGATGCTGAAAGTCCCAACAAAGTTTTTTGGCCACCGTTAAAGCCCTAACACCGTCACCCAGTCAGACAAACACCAGCGAACCTGTCACCTGCGCGCTCCGGCTCCCACCAGCTGAGCCTCTCCCCCAGAACAGCCCTGGGCTATTAATCGACTCCGCGCTGGAGCTGGCCAGTCCAGAGACGCGCTGATCAAGTGAGGCTACATCACTGGCTGCAATAGCTGTGACTGCGGCAGAGAGACCCAAAGTACAAAGTATCTCCTGCAACACCTTCTGCTTGGGCGCGGATGCTCCTCCAGTGACCTGGCAGAGGGCAAGGATCGGGCAATCGCCTGGGCTCTAACAAGGGCTCTGGCCGGTGATCAGTCTTTGTAATCCCACCCAGCGTTTTTTTTTGTGGCCACAAGTTCACAACGGCTCTCGCTCAGAACCAGCCCCGCCGTGAATCTGAGTCACTCGCCGGTCCAGTTTGGGCGTTGGATCTCGTCCCCTCTGTAACAGCTGATCAGCCGACAACAGATGTCTCCTCAGGGCGCAAGTGAGCTGTTGCCTTAGGCCTGGTCTACACTACACAGCTATGCCTTAGCGGCACATGTGTCTCCACTGAAATGTGTCCTCCGCCGATGTGACGCTGACGGAGTAATGCCAGCTCCGCCTCCCGAGGAAATGGATTAACCTCAGTGACAGGAGGACCCCTCCCATCGGCACGGGTAGCGTCTACACCGGCGCGCTCCAGCAGCGTAGCTGAGCTGGTTTACCACGGTAGCATTGCAAAGGTAGACAACCCTTAGGATACTGACGCTTAATTCAATCAGGTTGGGCCAGGAGATTGCAGGAAATTGCCTTCTCTGTCACACTGAGCCCAGGAGTCTAGCAGAGCCCAGGGACAAACCCCACCGAAGGGCAGCACAGCGTAAGGAGCCGAGATAACCAAGCGGCACCACGGCCCCCTTTATGAACGTCAGCACGATCTGCTGTGGGCAGCATCTCCTTTTGGCGACACACATGGGCGGGGCGTATTTAGTGGGCGGAGCTTGGAAGAGTACCACCTTTTTTTTCCTCTCCCATCTGACCCCTGCCCTCTTTCTGGCCAAATACCAATGGCTGGTTCCCAGGGAGCAATTCTGCCCAAAGACTCGGGAGTTGAGTTGCGGAGACTGAAGCAGCGGCTCAGTGAAATAATATATGGAGATATCCCTATCTCATAGAACTGGAAGGAACCCTGAAAGGTCATCGAGTCCAGCCCTCTGCCTTCACTAGCAGGACCAAGTACTGATTTTGCCCCAGATCCCTAAGTGGCCCCCTCAAGCATTGAACTCACAACTCTGAGCTATCTCCTGCTGCTTGCAACGGCTCCTCCAAAGAGAAACAGCAGCACGAAAAAGAGCCCAACATGGCTTCCAAGACTGAACCCTGCTCACAGGCTAAGAGAAAGAATTGATAAGATTGTCACAGCGCCACCTGGTGACTTCCGCCATAACCATGTAAACAACCCTCCTTCCATATTTGTGCAGGGATCGCTCATCAGTGCTACAAGGGGTTATAGTGGACCACAAGCTAAATATGAGTCAACAGTGTGATGCTGTTGCAAAAAAAGCAAACGTGCTTCTGGGATGTATTAACAGGTGTGTTGTGAGCAAGACACGCGAAGTCATTCTTCCGCTCTACTCTGCACTGGTTAGGCCTCAACTGGAGTATTGTGTCCAGTTCTGGGCACCGCATTTCAAGAAAGATGTGGAGAAACTGGAGAGGGTCCACAGAAGAGCAACAAGAATGATTAAAGGTCTTGAGAACATGACCTATGAAGGAAGGCTGAAAGAATTGGGTTTGTTTAGTTTGAAAAGGAGAAGACTGAGAGGGGACATGATAGCAGTTTTCAGGTATCTAAAAGGGTGTCATAAGGAGGAGGGAGAAAACTTGTTCACCTTAGCCTCTAAGGATAGAACAAGAAGCAATGGGCTTAAACTGCAGCAAGGGAGGTTTAGGTTGGACATTAGGAAAAAGTTCCTAACTGTCAGGGTGGTTAATCACTGGAATAAATTGCCTAGGGAGGTTGTGGAATCTCCATCTCTGGAGATATTTAAGAGTAGGTTAGATAAATGTCTATCAGGGATGGTCTAGACAGTATTTGGTCTTGCCATGAGGGCAGGGGACTGGACTCGATGACCTCTCGAGGTCCCTTCCAGTCCTAGAATCTATGAATCTATGAATGCAGCCTCCTCTGGGGTGGGGCGCAGCAGCGTTCAACGGCAACACGGTACATCAGTTTAGGATAGAAAGTAAAGAAAAACCCTGTATATAATTGACACGGCATGGGAGACTGGAAGGAAGTAGGCTGCAGTTAACCACAGTGCCCTGGCTAAATGGGCTAACACCACTATATTGCAAAGAGCGTGGCAGAATCACCGGGAGGATTTCGGGTTTCAGTTTTGCATTTGATCCGAAAGACGCCAAGTCAAGTAGCACAGCGCCCCCTAGTGACACTTTGGGGTTAGCGCTGACTGCAGGGGGAGAGCACCCCCTACTGAAGCCCTGCAGCGCAGCGCCTCCTAGCACCGCATTGGGGTCAGCCCTGACTGCAAGGGGAGAGCGCCCCCTACTGAAGCCCTGCAGCGCAGCTCCCACAGTGGGTCAACACTGAAGACAAAGGCAGAGCACCCTCTGTTGAGTCACCCACCCTGCTCCCTGCAGCAAAGCAGAAGGACCAGCACCCATTGAGAGGGGAGAGTATCTCCTATAGGCTTCTCCACCCACACTTTGATGGACCGATCCCCCTGCTCCCGCCCCCCAGTACCACCCTGCCTCAGTCCTGACTCACAGGGTCCTTTGAATTAACCACGGCAGGGATTAACATTCTAGTGAGCCGACAGCACGGTGCAGCCACATTTATCCCCTTTGCAGGCAGCCTAGAGATAAATAGCCCAGGCAGCGGGCACTCACACAAGCGCTTGTCTCAGCCTGCCAGGGAAACACAAAGCCTGGATCTTCCCTCCCCCAGCAACAGCTTCTTATGAAACGCTGCCTGAGCTGCAGCCCAACGGCCCAAACAGGCCAGCGTGACTGTCGCTCGCGAGCACCACGGCCCGGCAGCTCTCCGGGCTCCGATTCATCCGTGCAGAGAGCCACGCCAGCGGAAGTAGCCGGATTGCCACGCACGAGGGGCGGAGGGGGGAACGCGTCTCGACACCGCACGCGTGCAGATGAGAGCGCGGCCTCCCGGACGCGCCGTGCAGAAGCAGGGTGGGGACACGGGAGGCGAGCGAAAGGGGCGGCGAGCCCGTTGCTGTTGAAATCAACGTGCGGTTTACCGCCGAGTCCAACAGGCTCAAGCCCGAGTTTATAACCCAAAACCTGAAGCCGCTTTAGCAAAGACCGAAAATAAAGACATAAAAATAGGTCCCATGAATTTTATGCCAGTGGAGAATTATCCCTTACGCCTGCCAGCAAATAAACCCTTTCCTGGCAGACCTCTAAGCATGGCACTGTCTCCCTCAGCTCATCCACAAGCCCCACAGCCCTGTAGTTAAGGCAGTGGGCTACCATGCAGAACTCCTAGGTTCAATCATCCACTC